TGTAGTGAATGCGCTTGAACACTTTTCATGTGGAATGCTGTGTTTCAATGTTTAAACTACAGCGAGGATTACTTGGCGCATGATAATTCTGCTTTAAATTGTGTTCTAAATAGCAGATGTTCTGAGATAATATATTTTTGAGCGAATATTAATCAATGATGCGCACTTGACTCCGTCTAAGCAGATGGCTTAGCAACATAGACGATACAATGACAACAGACACCGATGGAATCGCTCGGAGATCGAACAGTCCATTGGCCGGTTTGAATAAGTCCGATGACTGTATACTGTAAACACAGAACGTTCCCCTAACGTTCCCGTATAGTTCCCATTTGGTTATTTTTTGGGAACCAAACGAGAACGTTCTAGGAACGTTCCCTGTAGGTTCTTTTTAGGTTCTATTTTATAACCTAAAGGGAACGTTCCCAGAACGTTCCCTGTAGGGTTTTTTTAGGTTTCATTTTCCGAATAGGTTCCCGGAACGTTCCCCTAACCTTAAGGGGACGTTCTATTTACGTTAAGAAAACTTTCCTGGAGAACCAATAGGGAACATTCTGGGAACGTTCCCAGAACGTTCTGGGAACCAAAAACTAACGTTTCCAGAACGTTCCCAGAACATAAAATTGTTAGCTGAACGCTGTACTGTAGGCTACTGAACTCTGTCGGTGTCATATCGTGCAGAGACACGCAGTAGGAAACGGTAAGATATGCACGTTTTAAAAAAAATGTTTTCGTAGGCCTAAAGGCTCATACACACCGGGACGAATATCGGCGCGCGTTATTCGCCAGCGTTTTTCAACGCGTTTTTTGTGTTCACACCCAAACGATTTAGGCTGACGATGAGCCGAGGGAACATGCAAGTTCATTCCCTGACATTAGATGGCGCCCATTTGCTCTGCAATACCACTCCATAACAGTTCTCTTTTATCAAGATTTTTGTAGTCGCTGTCGCGTTTGTCATATAGGTCTTTATGTTCCGACACCAACGAGACCAGCAGCACCACCATTCATCTTGCCTTGCATCTTCCTCGTCTTATTTCTTCCCGGCAGAGTAGACGCTACTTGGCGTATATCTTCTTTGCGTTATGTATGTGTGCTCGGCAAGACCGTTTTGTGTTTGAGCGCCCCAAGTTGTGTTTTACTGTAACTTCAGAAGCTCCAGACACGTGAGAAAAAGCGCCAATCTCATTGGTCGGATAGTTTTTGACGCGGTGCGTCAAATAAAAAAAACGAACCCGAGGCGTTTTCAAAAAAATGACGCTTTTACGCGTGGCGTTTTTCGCGTCGGTGTGCACACTCACATTGGCGCCCTTTGTTTAGTCACGAGGCGTTAAACGTCGGCGAATATCGCGTGCGAAATTCGTCCCGGTGTGAACAGGCCTTAAGTGACGAGCTGAGTCAGATAATAATTTACACAGCAAACAAAAAGAAAAAAAAAGGCATATATAAATATACGTACAAAAAACGCAGGTTCTGGGATGGTTTTACTTTTTATGGTTTTACTTTTGCGTATACGCAAAATATAGCTTTTGTGCATAAGCACACTTCTAGGATGAAAACCACGGAAAGTATTAGGCTACATAAGGGCCCCTGGAGAGGTCTATGGTCTCTGATCTCTTGTCAGGTGTTCTCCAAACTCATCAGGCATTATAGGAGATGGTCCTCACTGCAGAACACGAAATCCAGGGATCTGGATCCAACTCCTCCCACCTTGCATATACCTAAACCTACCCATCTCCACCCCCTGATCCCTAACCCCACCCCTAATCCTACCCATCTCCACCCCTTAGATCTGGATCCAACTCCGCCCCCTGGATCTCGTGTACTGCAATGAGGTGCTACTGGATAATAGGGGAAAACTCAGGGCTGTTATCTTGACAAAAGGAGGTTGCAAAAAGTATTTAATAAAAGGGGGCCTGCCAATAATTGTGGCCTACGTGTTTTAAAGAAAAACATTTATTTCATAATGTGATTTACACTCCACTTTCAATTCTTTTACTTCAATGAAAGGTTCGATTTTTTTGAATGACAGATCAAAGGGATAAACTGTTGATCAAAATGATAAAAAAATATCAAAATACAGATTTATTTTTACAGCCATCTTTGACCATATTTACCAGGTGTGCCAATAATTTTGACCACAACTGTAATTAGGAGGAATCTGTGCTGAGACTTAAGTGCAGCATTGTGGAGAAAAAGGGTCCATCATGTGATTGAGAAATGTATATGAGAAAATTATAAAAAAATGTGTTAAATAGTTTTTTTTAAAAGTAAGTTATATATATGGCAGGGTTATACATGTAAAACAAGACCACATTTGCTTAATATTGCTATAATACACATTAAAAAAATTTAAACAGATTTTGTCTTAGTATTGGCCATGAACTATTAAATGAAGCATTTCTGTCAGCGACTCAACCATAGTTATAGTAAGTTCTTCATCCAAATACTAATTGCAAAAGCAAATAATTATTTTAAAAAAACTACATTGTTCTCATTTTAAATTTGGGGGCCAAATTTCTTCGAAGAATCAGATAATCTTTTTCTGGCTGGTTCATGAACATATTTAAGAAAATGTAAATAATGTGCAGCAAATATTAACGGTATTAGTTAATACTAGAGGGAATTAATCCATGATGACTCTTTATTAGTTGCTGATGTGGCAATCATTAATGAAAGGTTTAGTGAGTCATACATTAACTCACGATTATCTATGCATAGCATGAATTACTGCATATTAATGCACCCGTATTGTAAAGTGTTACCAAACCTTTTTACAAAGAAAGTAGTGCAATGGAAAAGTTCCTTGAATCTTCATAGAGCAATTAATGACAATAAAGTAAAATAAATGTTATAAATACACAGTAAGCAGACAAAAAAAACACAAAAACAAAAAACAAAAAAAACATTTAAAGACGTTAACTCACCAGAAGGAACCAAATCGTCCAGTTTTCTGAGTGCTGAATCCAGGATGCCTTGGCTGATGTCCCAGTTTTGCCAGATAGGTAAAGAGAGTCTTCTGGCCAGATATTCTCCATCATTACAGACAACTTCACACAAGCGCTGCTCTTCAACTTCACCATCCTTGTAGAGAGACTGGTAATACTTGGTAGAAAAGACGTTGGCCTCGTGCAGCTCTCTGAGAAGATTGTGTAGTAGGCCAGGGCTAACCTGTAAAACTTTTCTCACCTGAAACAGCACATCCTCAAAGGGAACCATGACTGGACAGCAGCTGAGAGATACTCTCATTTAAATGCTTTATTTCCTCCTTGCTATACTAATGCCAAATTATCTGTGCTTTTGTTCCTGGATCAAAAGCTCTGGTAAAAACCACAGCAGAGTCCATTTGTCTGCTTTGTACTACACTGCGTTTAAGGACAACCAGGTCAGGTGAGGACAGTTTCGCATGTACTTTTTCCACAAGAAAACTAATGTTGCTAATGTGATGTGCATGGACAAATCAAGAGACCACATCTCCATCTCACTTCTCTTTTGATACTAGGAATTGATATGGAAGAGATTCAATGGATACATTCCAGATCGCAACCCTTACCAATATAATACCAAAAAAGAAATGTGTTTCCTTCTTCTATATATTAAATATATATTTCATATGCATCCGAGAAATTGCAGGCAGTATACACTCTTAAGAATAAAGGTTCCAAAAGGGGTTTTTCCTAGCAATGCCATAGTACAACCATTTTGGTTCCCCCAAAGAACCATTCTGTTTTTTTTTTTCTTACTGTGAAGAATATTTCAACATTCTTAAGAACTTTTTCCCACTGTAAACATTGTATGCAATGGAAAAGATCCATGGATGTTAAAGGTTCTCCATGGAACCATCAAAGCCAATAAGGAGCCTTTATTAGATTATATGGAAGTAGGAAAGCACCAACGCACAACCAAATCCAGTATTTGTGTAACATCTGTCTACTGTGGTCAGTTTATGAAGGCAGCATACAGTAGATATGTTGTTCTCCAATTACGATACCCCACAATCCTTTGTGTGCAGTTTAGTGGTTGGTGTTAAGAGCAAAAATGGCATGTGATGAAGCAAATGAAAAGTGTAAATAAACTTATAAATGCCAATTATTTCACCCAAAATGGCAGCTGTGTGATCAAGTGTGGCAGATGGTTCGGGGTAAGCTGTGCCAGTGGCTAGTCTGATAGTGATTTGCATCCAAATACACAAAGAAATACTACTGCATTGTGCTAAAGGCAGCAGCTGTCACACTAGACTGAGCACGTGAAATATCTACACAGACACCACAACAATTGTAATCTGGAAACGTAATTTAACATAATACATCCAAAATGTAAAAATATACAATCTACTCCACTTTACAGCAACGCAGCAATGCTACAGATTTAAAGTTTGTGTTCTTTTAAAATCAGCTAAGTGGTCATGGCGTGACATATCAATCTTCTTTTAGGCATACGTCTTCAATCAAAAACAAATTTGCAAGACAGAATCGACCAAACTTTGAAATGCATCGAAATTCGCATGAGCTTGCATTTCCGGTCTCTCTCATTCACAATTTTGTGGATGAAAGGAAATCAATTGGCTTTCGGATGCAGCCCAAAGACCCCTTAATACTTTACAGTGACTCATAAGAAAACAAACATTGCTCTAGCAGACAACACCTTGAAAATGGGAATTCCCTAAAATCTTGATTTGAATATAAGTACTTACGGTAGCACTATGAATAATACATGAAGGACATTATAAATGCTCTGACATATATCAGAAATGTTTTGATATATAACACAGAACAATCAAAAAAGGTTTAATGGTGAGTGGCCATTAGGTGCTCTTGCATATGTTGCATTTAAAAAAATATAAAACAAATTAGAGGTTTAGTAAAGATCAGACCAGATGTCTTAAAGAATTTATTATCAATTTTTTACAAAGCATTCAAAACCAAATTAAACATTAGTCATTTTTCTACTCAATGACAGGAAAAAGTTTTCTGATAATAAAGCATCATAACTCTTCCTGGTCTGCTGAAACATGTCCATTTAATTACAGTAATAATTATATTTCTGTTTCACTTTCATCATTTGCACTTTGCAAACTTGGATTCACGTACAGCTCCGTGTGACATGTGTCGTTGAGCTCTACTTTTAAATCCATTTTAAACAGGAATTATTTTTTAGATACATTATTTTAGAAATTACAAAACTATATTTCAAATCTCCCTTCACAAAAAAATATTTTTCGAAATCTGTGATTTGAAAAAAACTGGTTATCCAGTCTTAAAAGGCTATATTTTCCTGTAAATTAATTTTTAAATGTGACAGAGTATTGTGCAGATAATCATAACTTTTCTTTTGTGACTGGCCAATCACATGACACTGCTGTCTGAATTCATAGGATATCCCAGCTGCCTAAAGATCTGGCTGGACGTTCTCCGTTTCAACAAGGATCATCTGATGCGGAATGGGAAGAACAGTAATCTCGAATTTCTGTGAAAGTAAAGAAAACAAAATTTGTTATTGTCAGCACAAATGAAGGCCAAGCACGTAACAACAGCAAACTTACTAAACATTAGGTCAAAATAGCAAGATATCCGGATTCTAAAGAATGCACACTTCTGTAATCTACTTCTTTAAAAAAGAAAAAAGGGAGGGAGGGGAGGGAGTGCACTCTCAGAATCTAAACTATTTCCTTGAGATCCATTTTTTTTTTTTAAAACAAAGCATATTGTCTATTTCAACAAGTGTTCTCTAACATTATGCAAAACATACTCTCATAGGCCATTTTAATAGATACACCTTTCTAATATTAATGGCCCTTTGGGACAAAATTTTCATGACAAGGATTCAGCAACATGCTAGAAACACTCCTGGTCCAGTATGGTCCATGATAGCATTATGTAGCTGTGGCAAATTTGTCCATGAATCCAAAGTTTCATGTCATTTAACAGGGGTCTTTCCTGATACTGGCTGGATCTCTTGAAGCCTCCATAGGAAGAGCAGGGGCTGCTGTGCCACCAATATTAAATACTTCCTTCCTTGCTCGGTGCATAGCCATATAGAGCACCAACATAAAGGGGAGTTCTGCTCTGAAAATCAAGGCCTTGTTGCAGGTTGTTGTGTTTAAGCTAAGTGACTGTTAATGAGGATTTGGTTAATGCTAAACTGAGGTCAAAGAACAGTTGCCGTTTAGCTGTTTTGGCATTCTCTTTTATGTGTGCAGGAATACTGGCGATGTTTCAAAGTCGGCGGATAATTGGAACAGTGGCGTAGTTGATGGATGCGATAAATATGTCAGTGAAGAAATCGACAAGTAATTCAGCACACCTTTGGTAGGATTCTCCTCACATCTGCAATAGTACTTATCGGCGCCTGGTCACCCAGCATAAGGGCAGATTTTACTAAATCTGGTTACTCATAACATTGTCTAACATAAAATTAATCTAGCATGAAAAGTAGTTTTAAATAAATATATAAAATGAAAAAATAAGGTTTCCGGTTACGCCACCAAGAGGATGACAGCCTAATTTTCGAGCTCTCCGACGGTTTTGTGAAATAACCCCCAAAAAACGTAGTTTTGTAAACCTTGGTGTATACTTTGTGTAATAATGGAGAAAGGGGTTACTACTATAAGTAGGACAACGATGAACATGATCGAAAATGACCCTGAAGTGAGGCAAGGTAGCAGAAGTAGCTTCCCGAGTTCGTCTCCACATTGTGAGGATGGCTCCGAAGTTAGCCTGCGATGTATTCTCAATGAACTCCGGGAGTTCAGAAGGGACAATAAGGTACAGCTTTCCGAAATTAAACAAGAACTGAAGAGAATAAACGATAGACTGGATGAGGCAGAGGGGAGAATTGCAACATCAACGTTAATCAAGCGACTAACACAGCACCAGGCTAACCTGGAAGCCAGGTTAATAGAACAAGAAGGCCGTGCGCGCAGAGACAATTTAAGGATTTACGGAATATCCGAAGATAAAGAAGGCACTGATATGGTTGCCTTTCTGGATAATCTGTTGAAAAGTGCATTCGACTTTCCCAGTGACAGAGAACTTGGGGGATTGAGCGAGCACACCGCGGATTAGCACCGAAGCCCAACAATCCGCAAGCAAAGCCACGGTGGCAAATGCCACCTACGTCACTACCAAATAGAACGCCGCCATATTTACGACCAATCTCGCCCGGTATGGCCGCCCAAACTGCCCATTTGAATGAGAGAGAGAGAGAGAGAGAGAGACAGAGATACCTGGCGAAAATTTTAATTTTAGGCTCCTTTGTTACCCCCAGTTTTCTTTTGTCCATTATTATCTGCCCCAGACTTGCCCCAATTTGCCTACCATGATATATATATACATCTTGTGCATAACCCCTCCCCATACAGTGGTGATCGCTTGAAGGCTTACAAGAGTACCGATGCATTACAATATCTGGGTTTCCCGCAGCACTTTGAAACTAAGGCGGCCGCCTAAGCAGCACACGCTTGCCGCCTTACGTCGTCAAAAAAAATTATATGAGCAATATCCGCCGTGTTACTCTGTCCTGTTTTCTCCCTTTCAATCTTTAAATATGAGATAAGCCTTTGTGTTCGCTTCAGTCTTGTTATCAGCGCGTTCTTCCGCAGCGGCGCCGAGCACGTCAGAACAAACAGAAGACAGGGTGGGTGGGTGTGTGTGTGTGTGTGTGTGTTCATCTGAACCTCATTGGTCTGTCACTGCTCTTCAATGTCAGAATATTTGAGATGACCAATCAAATCAAAGTAGCTTTATGTTCACATAGCGAATTTTAGCAGAGCGACTGACGTGCTTCAGTTTACTGTCGGTCAAGTGCGAGATAAGATGTAAGTTGCTAAACTAAACATTTCCTATTTGACAGTTTTTAGGTCATAAATGTTAAACGAATCACAAAAATAATCAGGCAAACTAATAAACTTTTGTCTATTTTCGCCATTTTGAACTGAAAATAGACCACTATGTGACGTGACTCATGTAATGTAGCCTAATAATTAGTTTACTGTCATTGTGAGGGGACAAGACACATTAACCAGGGTACCCGCGGGATCTTAAAAGCATTGAAAAAAATCTCAAATTAAGGCATTAAAAGCCTTGAATTTGGTATACAAAGTCTTGGATTTCGTTACAAAGGTATTATATTTTTTTTGCCTTTAATAGGATTAAGTTCATACCATAACAAAATTAACTGTTACTAATGCAGACTAATTAAAAATTCATGCAACGTTGAATTGCATGACCTCTCACTCCACGTCATAGCAGAAAGCGCGAAAGCGTGCTGTGGTTACTAGGCAAGTGAGTTACAGAACAAGATAGTAGCCAAGCGTAGTTTGTCATCTGAAATGGGAAAGTTTCAGTTTAATCTGCTGTGGCCACAAATGCAGTAGCACCTCATTGCAGTACACGAGATCCAGGGGGCGGAGTTGGATCCAGATCTAAGGGGTGGAGATGGGTAGGATTAGGGGTGGGGTTAGGGATCAGGGGGTGGAGATGGGTAGGTTTAGGTATATGTATATCTGGATCCAACTCCTCCCCCTGGATTTCGTGTTCTGCAGTGAGGACCATCTCCACAAATGCCAGAATTCAATAATTTAAACCCCAAATCAGAGCTTTTCTGTTAAAAGAACATGTCTTTTCAATAGTATCTGGCAACCATGCGCACGCTCTCTACACTGCTCAGGAAGCGCGGATGATCTGAAAACAGACAAGCTGGAGTTCAGCAATCTTCATTTGAGATTTTCAACTTAAATTGAAGTGTCATTCAGTCGGTCTATGTTCTGTCACGAGCCGCTTGCGCTGTTTGTGTAAACAAAATGCAGGCTGATATCCAGCAGTGTTTTTAATGTTGATGCAATCAATCAATGTTTCCCGAATATCCACACTATTTCAAATTGATTTTATGCAACAGTTAAAAAACAAAACAAAAGGGTAACATTAAGTGATTTACTACATTTAAAACAGTATAGTCAGGCTTATTGATCTATTTTGCGACGAAATCTGTGGCTTTGAACGAATCGTGAGATTCAATGAATGACTCGATGACTCACACATAAAGACAATGAGTTACCGCCACCTACTGGCGATTTTAATATAATATTTTGATTAATATTAAACGATTTTTAACATTGTAATACCTTTAAAAAAATAAATTATGCCTTAAATAAAACAATGTTCAATAAATAGGCAAAGGTAAAAAAAAATTAAATGGAAAAATTTATTAAAGGGGGCAAATATTGCCCCTTAATGGAAAAGGTGTGACTGCAGTCTAAGTGGAAGAGGGGTACGGCACTCTAAAAAATTGGAGAACCACGGAACTAAGGAAAAGGGATATGTAGAATTGCACAAGTGCTACTGCTAAAGAGTCCAATGTCAATAATTTCTCATAATCTTAATTGAATTGGCCTAGAGAGAATAACTATTATGACATTTTCTCTCTAAAGACTATAAAATAGCTACCAAAAGTAAAGTAACTGAAGTTTGGCTAAAAGTTATGACTAAAAGTTGACAGAAAATGCAAAGACTTTTCGTCAACTAAAACTATGAAAGACAGAATGACTCAAATGTGACTAAGACCAATAAGCATTTTCGAGCAAGATGAAGAAGACTAAATCAAAAATGGCTGCCAAAATTAACACTGGCCTACACACACGTGCGTCGTGCGCGCTACAACGCGGTTGCGTATGTATTAAATATAACTGATCATTTAAATAAAATGTTTTATTCAAGTAGCCTACTTGTACATAATTATTTTCTAGGGTTTAAAATTTATACAGATTTGACATTTTCCCCTCATACTTCTGTCGCAATGGGTACGAAGTTGCCATTGAATTTCATTTGAAATGGTATTAAGAAGGTCTTAAAAAGCCTTGAACTTAAGTTGGAGGATCCTGGGGGTACCCGGTTAACAAACCGTTTTCATCACGTTAGGCAAAAGATAATTAATGAATGTGTACATATTGATAATGAATATAATACAATTTGTAGCCTTCAGTAAATAAAAAAATGCAAAAATGGACCGAAAAACCCAGGCTAACCTCCACCATTAAGCTTCACCAGTGCGCCGACACACTGAATCGTTCTTTGTTTAAATAGGTTTAAAGTTACTATTAGATGTAATGTTATAACCTTGACAAACTAATACATCATTAAAAAAGATATAAGACTCAAGTTTCAGCATTTGTCTTAATTTGTGTCAGGAGTTATGTAATATGACAACTCTGTTTAAGACATAACCAACATATTTTACGTGAATACTCTCCAAAACGGACATTTAAAGCTGCAGTCGGCAGTTTTTCCTCTTTGTCGCCATCTCTGTTTGAAATCTGCAATTGCAGTTATTCGCGGAATTATCAACTTTACGTGAGTTGTACTTCGGCACGGCACAGCGCGGATGAACACAATGTTTGAGGAGTTTGTGTGGCTGTCAGTCCCCGCGCCGGTGTGGATACTGGCATTCAGAATCACAGATTATTCTTTTTGGACGTATGCAGTGTTGTAGTCGAGACCAGCTCACTCGAGTCCGAGTCGAGACCGAGACCAAAGAGAGTCGAGTCCGAGTCGAGACCATAGAGGGTCGAGTCCGAGTCGAGACCAAAGAGGGTCGAGTCCGAGTCGAGACCAAAGAGGGTCGAGTCCGAGTCGAGACCAAAGAGGGTCGAGTCCGAGTCGAGACCAAAGAGGGTCGAGTCCGAGTCGAGACCAAAGAGGGTCGAGTCCGAGTCGAGACCAAAGAGGGTCGAGTCCGAGTCGAGACCAAAGAGGGTCGAGTCCGAGTCGAGACCAAAGAGGGTCGAGTCCGAGTCGAGACCGAGACCATAGAGGGTCGAGTCCAAGTCGAGACCGAAACCAAAGAGGGTCGAGTCCGAGTCGAGACCAAAGAGGGTCGAGTCCGAGACCATAGAGGGTCGAGTCCGAGTCGAGACCGAGACCATACATAGAGGGTTCGAGACCGAGACAATAGAGAGTCGAGTTCAAGTCGAGACCGAAACCAAAGAGGGTCGAGTCCGAGTCGAGACCGAGACCATAGAGGGTCGAGTCCAAGTCGAGACCGAGACCATAGAGGGTCGAGTCCGAGTCGAGACCGAGACCATAGAGGGTCGAGACCGAGACCATAGAGAGTCGAGTCCAAGTCGAGACCGAAACCAAAGAGGGTCGAGTCCGAGTCGAGACCGAGACCATAGAGGGTCGAGTCCGAGTCGAGACCGAGACCATAGAGGGTCGAGACCGAGACCATAGAGAGTCGAGTCCAAGTCGAGACCGAAACCAAAGAGGGTCGAGTCCGAGTCGAGACCGAGACCATAGAGGGTCGAGTCCGAGTCGAGACCATAGAGAGTCGAGTCCGAGTCGAGACCGAGACCAAAGAGGGTCGAGTCCAAGTCGAGACCGAGACCATAGAGGGTCGAGTCCGAGTCGAGACCGAGACCATAGAGGGTCGAGACCGAGACCATAGAGAGTCGAGTCCAAGTCGAGACAGAGACCAAAGAGGGTCGAGACCGAGACCATAGAGAGTCGAGTCCAAGTCGAGACCGAAACCAAAGAGGGTCGAGTCCGAGTCGAGACCGAGACCATAGAGGGTCGAGTCCGAGTCGAGACCGAGACCATAGAGGGTCGAGACCGAGACCATAGAGAGTCGAGTCCAAGTCGAGACCGAAACCAAAGAGGGTCGAGTCCGAGTCGAGACCGAGACCATAGAGGGTCGAGTCCGAGTCGAGACCATAGAGGGTCGAGTCCGAGTCGAGACCGAGACCATAGAGGGTCGAGTCCGAGTCGAGACCGAGACCATAGAGGGTCGAGTCCGAGTCGAGACCATAGAGGGTCGAGTCCGAGTCGAGACCGAGACCATAGAGGGTCGAGTCCGAGTCGAGACCGAGACCATAGAGAGTCGAGTCCGAGTCGAGAGAGATTGGATAACCTAAGGTTGGGTCTGAAACCAGACCTAAAGATATCTTCAAGAATATGTAAAATATTTGGTGGTAGCAATAAAATTGGCACCATACTCAAACAGTAAATCAAATATACCATGGAATCATGTACACTGTAATGGTAAAAAGGCCACATAGTAGGTGGTGTAAAGGTAATTTTATTACAGTTATGACTTACAATTATTACAATCAGTAAGTGCTCTTACACACAACATTATTGCACACGAATTCTGTGTGGCTCTTATATGCAAACTGAATTATGGATAATAAGGCAGACATTTTCAATACATAGTTGAGCTAGAGGCTCCACATCACATCTGACCTGGGTCCTGCTGCATTTGCGCGCCGCGAACGTTATAGTCTCAAGTCATGCGCAGTTGCGCACAAGAAAGTCAGCAATGACAGCAATCATTGGACGTTTCAATCAAACAACAATTTAAAGAAATATTAACATACAGTAATAATCATGACATATTTTGAATGGGACTCGAGTGGACTCGGGAATAAGTCCGAGTCCTAATATGTTCGAGTACGAGTCAATTCCGAGTCAAAATGCACACGAGTCCATGACAAGACCGAGACCATTAAAATATGGTCTCGAGACCGAGTCCGAGTCTCGAGTACACAACACTGGAAGTATGACCATTGACCAACATAATAATTTTCACCGGAAAATGTCATCTGAACAAGAACCATCCACTTTTGTTCTGGTTTTGACATTGCAGTAAATCGTGCTGATTAAATCTAACAATTGCTTATAAGTTATCATATCACGCAAAACCGTGCAAATTATACTTTGTTCTCAAATTGTTAATGTTAACAACGTCAGCATGGCTGCACGCTTCGGGTCGGGTGTGTTGCATAGTAAGGTGTGAGACGTGGGTGTCCAATGATCTCTTTGAATGACAGCTAACCACTTCTTTTATCTATCCTTTTCTTTTGGTATTGAATAAAATACCAGTTCGGGGTTCCTCTTTCGGCTGTTGTTGCAGCCAACTGCACAACATATTGCAGGCATTACTGAGACCGACGGTCGTAAAGATGGCGGCGCAAAGCTACAATGACATCATGTGACCCGAACGAATAGTAGTCAAGTTCGGGAGCTATTGCACGAAAGAGGAGGTGCTTCGCAGAGCTTGGCAGAAAAAATAAGTGTTTTGCAACGACGCCCGCTTCTATGTTGACTTCCCTCCTGAAGTCCTTAAGAAACGCGGGAAGTACGCCGAAGCCAGGAAAGTGTTAAAGGAAAAACAAATAAAGTTCCAGACACCGTACCCGGCAAGGATGCGCGTCTTTTACGATGACGGCACTTCTAGAATTTCCCCCTGGCAATTCTTGGTTTGTCTTAACCATTAATTAGGATTGTTAGGTAACACACTAAAGCAGAATTACCAGAATGGTTAGTTATGTCAGTTCCTTAGTTTATGCGTGGGGCAGGTAAGTAAAGAAAGGCTTGCTGGCGTTTTGGATGACTCACTCTGGACTATGCTCTGATAGGCCACTGCTGCAGGAGATTCTGGAACTTCAGTTAGGAAAGACTTTCCCTCGTCACAGCTTTTCCCTTGAAAAGCAAAATACAGAAGTACATTTTGAGAACTAGAAACTGCTGGCTGCTGACTTTTCCTCATGTTTAAGAGGAACCACTGAAGGGAGTTTTTTGTACTTGATTACACGCTGTAAATATAAAACAAGGAAACACTCTCACAAAATCAAGAAACGGGATGCACCACAGTGCTAAGGTGTAAATTGTTAAACTTCCTCATATCCTGAATACTAAATGCGGAACAAATGTAGAATAGCATTTCATTACTATTTAATCTGGTTTAAAACATTCTCTTCCTTGGTAAAAGATTAAGCTTCTTGTACCTATTCGTGGGTCCAGGGGTACTCTGCCCAAAAGAGGGAGATTTAGTTCTTCACACATTCTCTGTGCTCCTCCTGTGGTCGGAGGAAATATCTGTGAAGTATTCTGTAAATAGAGACAAAGGGTATCAAATAACAACACATAATGTGACAGGTCAGTCGTTTCAATGTACGACTTCCTTTCTTCTGTAACACAAATGATTTGATTTATTTTTTCCATGCAAGTACAATGGAACTTTCAAAAAGGATGCAAAAGTATCATAATGAAGTAGTCCACACAACCCAAGTCTACTGAAGTTACACAACAGCTTTGTGTGATGAAGAGAACAGAATTTAAGTTGTTATTCCCTGACAATCTATCTGTCCAGTGATCTGTTAGCGACTGCAGCATTGAGACAGAACTCAAGAACCGGATCAGTCAGATTGGTGAATGAATGATTCTGCGTGCATTTGTGAACTGGATCAACATATTCATTTAAAAGATGCTACTAAAAGAACAGTTTGTTCAGAAATTGGGGAGTGCTACTTCTCGGTGGACATCTGCAAATAACGATTTTTAATAGCATTCAAAAGTTTGAGGGTCGGCAACATTTTTATGTTTTTGAAAGAAGTCTGTTATGCTTACCAGGGCATCAATTTATTTGAAAATACAGTGAAAACATTAAATACTGTATATACTGTATAATACTGAATATATTTTAAAATGTAATTTATTCCTGTGATGCAAAGCTGAATTATCAGCATCATTACTCCAGTCTTCAGTGTCACATGGTTCTTCAGAAATCATTCTAATATGCTGATTTGATGAATAAACATTTCTTCTTATTATTATCAAAGTTGAAAAGTTGTGCTGCGTCTTTGATGAATAGAAAGTTCAGTGATAAATATTTTGTGACATTATAAATAAGGCCACTTTACAGTCACTTCTGATCAATTAAATGTATGCATGCTGAATAAAAATATTAATCTTAATAAAAATTTAAATAAAAGCTTACTTTAAGACATTACATTTGCCATTTAACAAAAGAGGATTACAACTCAGATTTTTTACTTTATTTTTGGGAAGTGCAAATGAGAGTGGTATGAATATGGCAGATGAACTGTGCTTCTACACCTGCATAGATAAAAATTGAAAACCATCATGCTAGGGATGATAAGGCATTATTAATTCCCCTGACCTGTGTTGTAACAGCCTGGTCAGCAGCACGCTTGACGAGACGGAATATGAACTCAGAATAGTCTTTATTTAAACTTAACGCTCAGGAACACACAGGGAAACGTAGGAGAAATCACAAACCACTGAACACGTCAAGCGACAAGAGACTGAACATAACGGAGTTTAAATACAAGACGAACATACTGACTGACAGGTGATATTTATACGCAACCATAAAACCAAACGATGAGATAACCAGTAACCAAGGAAACCAAAACTAAACGGAGCAGAGAAACAGGAACTAAGGCAAGCTAAATAGAATCTAGAAGTCCATAACCATGACAGTTGTGAACTGAAGTAGATCAGCAATATCTTTGTCAGATTCACATATAGATTGAGGTGAATATCAGGAAAAATGCAAATGGTTATTGCCAATATACAGTATAACAACACTCAATTTCACAATAATCCTGATCTTTTGGATGCACGTAGAGATGGAATAACACAAAGACATTCAATTGTTTGGTGATTTGTATGAGGAAAATATACTCATAACATTTGAGCAATTGAGTGCAAAGTTCCTTTATAAGGATTTACAGGTGCAGCATTATATTGCTACACAACAAGGTGGTAATTTATTGCACTTTTCTTCCAGTTCCAAGTTCAACAGCTAACATTATAAAAAGGGATGAAAGGGAATAGAAAAAAGGGTCTAAGGACTTATGTCATATCAATCTCATTGATTTTCATGGAGAGGATACACCATCTTCTAAATCCAGATGGGAAAAGGATTTGGAGTGTATCTTTGAACTAGACACTTGGGAATCTATTTGTGAAAAATCCTTAAGATGTTCATGTAAGAGCAGACATAGCTTAACTCAATTTAAAGCCACAATATGTAATTTGTTCGCCGCTAGGGGTCGCTAACCTCTTACAATAACAAAGGCGTAGATTGATGACGCAGTAAATGAGTGTGGAATCATGGAAGTTGTCGTAATGCCGATGGATCTAACGTTAATAATGTTTAAGGGGAAATAATGTTTATGGATGAGTGAATGCATGTTTTTTATTCATTATTATATTTTTTTCATGACTGTGGTATGAAGCAAGTCGCGATTGCTAATGAGAGACAGATATCAGCGCCACATGCGAGTCCCGCGGATATAAAGGAATTTAATTCTACCGAACTACCTGCAAGTGCTGAATTACTACTCACACAGGTCGAGATATATCCAGCTGCAGACCCGCAGCACCACCAGTTTCAGAACCCCAGCGCCAGAACCGGAAGTGAGGGAGGGGCGGAATTATTATTATTGCATTAGTTATTTTTGCAAGAATGTAAGGACAAAATGGGCCTGAGAGTGAGTTCCTCATTTGATACATTGTAAGTTAAATCTATACAAGATTGTCATGATAAAATGGGCCTAGGGGTGAATTGGTCATTTGTTGTATACATTTTTATTGTTTCTTTTAAAACAATGCTGAATTTTCTCTCTCTTTTTTAGATTTTTGACATTAATTTACATAAAGAAAAATGTATACTGCACATGTTTTTGTGAAATAAAGTATATTTTATATAAAATACCCATAAGTTTCAAGCATTATTTTTCACCATCATGATCAGGAAGTAACTCTCATAATACAATAACACGGATAACTATACAATTATATTACACAAAATCAATGTTTTAAAATGCTTATTGTACTGTACCTTAATGTATCATTATAACATGCGTATAAAGTATGACGTTTCGTGTGTAATAAAAGCAAGCCGTTTCGTGTCTAAGCAAATTACGCTCCAAAACGTTAGGTGGGGTTACTCGGTTTAGAACGTAAGCTCCGCCCCTTACTTCCGGTTCTGAAACTGGTGGTGCTGCGGGTCTGCAGCTGGATACTATTGCACAGGTCAGTTTATTAGACGAATTAAGCTTGTGAGGTAACACAACGCTGTTTCACTTGGTCGAACGTTACACTGTCATACTAAACAGCATTTGAGTGTGTTGAAAGTTACAATGTTATTCTATGTATTAGTTTGTTGGCTGTATGAGACTAGCAGTAAGCTAGATCAACATCATATTCTAACATTTCATCATGTTTAGATATATAACATTGATTTGTTTTATGAACATTTGCTCACCTGTCTAATAAAGTACATACAAGAGCGGCATCTCTGTCAATTCCAAGTTTGTCGCGGACGTGGAGCTCTCGGCATCTCGAAAACGCCACACCGATATTGATCCTCGTTTTAGTTCTCCTTTTGTCCCAAAGTCTGCTTGCCAAGATCCATAATGTTTGAACGAAACAACAACAGTGTGCTGCTAAACATTACGCAGTTGTCCACATCTGTCGCCAGGGTTACTATGGTAGTACGAGCGGAAACCAGGGATAACGCGGATATTACGACATTGACAGGCGTCAAGTGACGGGCACCATTTAAAATTGTGAATTTCTCTGAATTTACAAATTCTTGGAAAAATTTAGGATAATGAAAGTACACAATTGAAAGAAATGTATAACACTGTGCAAGTGGTTTTTGGATATTTTGATACAAACTTCTTATATATTGTACCTTTAACATTACATACTGGAGAGATTACACAAGATGTTTACATAAGTGATTCCTATTCAGAATGTTGCAATGCTGGGATTTAAAGTAAAGGTAGTCACATTATCACATAAGTTTTGGGTGTGTGCAAAACTTAAAACCTATTGGGAAAATATACTACATACAATTAATGTATAGCTACTAGTGATGTATGTCTCGAGACCGGTCTTGGTCTCGAGACCTGTCTCGGTCTTGTCACGGCCTTGACGGTCTTTGGTCTTGGTTTGGTCTCGGACCTCTCGGTCTTGTCACGGCCTTGACGGTCTTTGGTCTTGGTTTGGTCTCGGACCTCTCGGTCTTGTCTAGGTCTCGCTGTCTCAGACCGACATAGTGGTCGGGGGATTTAGCAATACAATACTACACTATCCACGACGATATCTGCAACGGATTGAAGTGCGCGTCCGAGTGAAGACAGTGCGGTGTGCGCGAGCCACACGAGAAAACACTGTATCCGCGCCACTGATCGCAGCGGCAACGAGCTCTTTGATCACTTGATTTAAAAAACACATATCATGTACAGTTTTTTGATGTATTAATATTTAGTAAAACACTTATCAGTGACATGATGGGTTTTAACTTCATTCAGGAGATTTTGGGTAACTGCACAACTGACAGATGTCTTTGAGCGCACCGCCAACGGTGTGTGTGTAACCATAGCGACAAAACGACCAACTTTCGGATCCTGCACTTAATATAATTTCGTTTTTAAAAATATAATTATGTATTTAAAAGTTGCAGAATGTATTCATTTGGAGACTTCAAAATCGGCAGAGATAGGCAGGCAATGCAAAACAAAATCTCACAAGTTATTGCTTAGCTTCAACACTTTTTTTTTCCCCTCTGGTCTCGACTTGGTCTCGGTCTTGGTCTTGGTCTCGATACCCTCTGGTCTTGGTCTCTGTTTAGGCGGTCTTGACTACAAGTCTAATAGCTACACAATGGAGAGAACTATCATCTTATGTTACAGTTGAAATCTCAATCTCTCAATCAAAAAAAAAAAAAAAAAGACAATTTGAGAAGAATAGGTTCAAATGTATTGATTATATGAAAACCTGTGGTGCTACACTGGTAGATTATGTTGATGTAGTAATGTAACATTGGGATTGTTTAAAAATGTATAAAACTTACCCTGTTACAAGTTTTATCAGATAAGTACATTAAATAATACTTTTTTCTTTTTGTTAACTTTATCGTAAGCTTATTATTTTAATGTAATCTTTTTTTATTGATCTGTTTTATTTTAATCACTGCAGCTACCCGCTCTGAATTTAAACTGCTGTCTAGTCTACCCAGAGGGAGAGGAAGGTGGTTTAGAAAAGACTAATGAGTTTCATTCTCACAAAAGTCCTGATATGGCTTCGGAAAACTTGGCATGCAGCATACCGACTCAAACTGACTTCTTTCATGATACTTGATGGGACATTCTTCAAAACTACTTTTTCTCCCTTCCACGTAAGGAAGTCATACAGTTTGGTATGACATGAGGGTGAGTAAATGATGTCAATAAATATAAAACAAAAAGAAGAAAATATCAAGCTTAATCACACAAGTTAAATGAAAAAAAAAAAATCTTGTGCAAAACTGTTAACATACAGAAAATATTAAGGGTGATGTGTGCTGTATTTTGCCATAAGATACTGCATTTACACTTGTATACTATACCTTGCATTTAGGACAAACAAAGCCACTCATGTTTTCAATCACACCTATGATTGGCAATTTGACCTTTTTACAGAATCTGATCTCTTTTCTCACATCCTGCAAAGACACTTCCTATTTGAGAAGGGAATGATAAAAAAACATTATACAGTAGTCAAAACATGCAGTTACATCTTAATAGGGATCATTGAACATGTTTAAATGCTTGTATGAATTAAAAATACAGAAAATTTGTTTATGTTGGCTGATACTTTTCTTCTCATGCATCACGACAATGGTGACCCTAACAGCTACAAAGCAAACATTTAATGTATAGTGTACCACTGCAAAGCAGTCTGGTATTGCAAAACACTATAGTCCTGCAAAAAAGCAAAACAAAGACTGTTGGCTATTTTTAAGGAAGTGTAAGTGCATGTGTCCTTTCACACAGCTGCAGTGAAAGCCTCTCTAAACCTGAATGATTCTTGATGTTATTAATTAACTGCCTAGTAATCAATGCTTAAATGCTCAGTAGGGAGAACTATGGGGACTTTGTTAAGCATGTGTGCAAATAAGCACAACTTGTCTGAAGACATAAATATCTTTTTTATACATTGTTCACACCATTGAGTTCCACTTCACTGGTAACGTGCAGGAAATCAACATTTTTTTTTTTAAACAACTTTCAGTTAAGTGTGAAAACATGTTGTTCCCCATACTTCAATGCATCTGAACTCATGATTCAAATCAAACTAGATTATTTTGCACTTGTTGTTTTCTTTTTTTTTATGCAAACCTTTTTTTTTCTTTGATTTTAATCTTTTTTAATGCAAACTAGATCCCACTGTGTAAAAGCAACTTCCTGAAACATGAATTGTTGCTGTTCACCTGCGGGGTGGTGATGATGACCGCCCCGTCGATGCCAGCGCCGCTGAGATACTGCACAATGGACAAGTGCTCATCAGATGTTCCTGGGGGCGTGTCTACGATCAGATAGTCCACTTCTCCCCAGTCTACATCCCTCAGGAACTGTTTTATCATCCCTAAACAACAGCAAAGATACCGAAAATGAGACAATGCACCATAGCAAATGTATCAATTTGCAAACAACTGCACTGTTTAGCCTCTTTAGTCTTATCTTTTTTCTCTCTTTAAAAATTTGAAGGCCAAATATGGTAACCCATACTCAGAATTTGTCCTCTGCATTTAACCCATCCAAGTTAGGGATCCACCTGGGGAGCGATTGGGGGTTCAGTGCCCGTCTCAAGAGCACCTCAGTCAAACCCGCAACCTTCAGGTTATCAGTCTGGCTCTCTAACCATTAGGTAACTACTCCCCCCTATCTTATGTGAAATGCAATCTCAGTGATAGTCAGATAAGCAAACAGCTTGGCAGCCAAAATCCTTCTTTTTGTACACTTGTAGTGTTTTGATGCTTGATGTGCACCACAATGAAGCCTAATCTAATACGTTTGCTTATGTTTGTATCTCAGATGCCAAAATGTTCTACATAAGATGTTATCCTGCAGATAGACAGTACACAGATAGTGATTTACTTCCTCTAAAAAAGCGAACATAAACAAGGAATGTTGATGCTATTTAACCATACAAAAAAGATGACTACAGAACTTGACAAATACAGGTCCTTCTCAAAAAATTTGCATATTGTGATAAAGTTAATTATTTTCCATAATGTAATGATAAAAATTAAACTTTCATATATTTTAGATTCATTGCACACCAACTGAAATATTTCAGGTCTTTTATTGTTTTAATACTGATGATTTTGGCATACAGCTCATGAAAACCCCAAATTCCTGTCTCAAAAAATTAGCATATTATGAAAAGGGTCTCTAAACGAGCTATTAACCTATTCATCTGAATCAACTAATTAACTCTAAACACCTGCAAGATTCCTGAGGCTTTTAAAAACTCCCAGCCTGTTTCATTACTCAAAACCGCAATCATGGGTAAGACTGCCGACCTGACTGCTGTCCAGAAGGCCATCATTGACACCCTCAAGCAAGAGGGTAAGACAGAAAGAAATTTATGAACAAATAGGCTGTTCACAGAGTGCTGTATCAAGGCACCTCAGTGGGAAGTCTGTGGGAAGGAAAAAGTGTGGCAAAAAACACTGCACAACGAGAAGAGGTGACCGGACCCTGAGGAAGATTGTGGAGAAGGACCGATTCCAGACCTTGGGGGACCTGCGGAAGCAGTGGACTGAGTCTGGAGTAGAAACATCCAGAGCCACCGTGCACAGGCGTGTGCAGGAAATGGGCTACAGGTGCCGCATTCCCCAGGTCAAGCCACTTTTGAACCAGAAACAGCGGCAGAAGCGCCTGACCTGGGCTACAGAGAAGCAGCACTGGACTGTTGCTCAGTTTTGCATGTCATTCGGAAATCAAGGTGCCAGAGTCTGGAGGAAGACTGGGGAGAAGGAAATGCCAAAATGCCTGAAGTCCAGTGTCAAGTACCCACAGTCAGTGATGGTCTGGGGTGCCATGTCAGCTTCTGGTGTTGGTGCACTGTGTTTTATCAAGGGCAGGGTCAATGCAGCTAGCTATCAGGAGATTCTGGAGCACTTCATGCTTCCATCTGCTGAAAAGCTTTATGGAGATGAAGATTTCATTTTTCAGCACGACCTGGCACCTGCTCACAGTGCCAAAACCACTGGTAAATGGTTTACTGACCATGGTATTACTGTGCTCAATTGGCCTGCCAACTCTCCTGACCTGAACCCCATAGAGAATCTGTGGGATATTGTGAAGAGAAAGTTGAGAGACGCAAGACCCAACACTCTGGATGAGCTTAAGGCCGCTATCGAAGCATCCTGGGCCTCCATAACACCTCAGCAGTGCCACAGGCTGATTGCCTCCATGCCACGCCGCGTTGAAGCAGTCATTTCTGCAAAAGGATTCCCGACCAAGTATTGACTATTGAGTGCATAACTGAACATAATTATTTTTAAGGTTGACTTTTTTTTTTTTGTATTATAAACACTTCTTTTATTGGTCGGATGAAATATGCTAATTTTTTGAGACAGGAATTTTGGGTTTTCATGAGCTGTATGCCAAAATCATCAGTATTAAAACAATAAAAGACCTGAAATATTACAGTTGGTGTGCAATGAATCTAAAATATATGAAAGTTTAATTTTTATCATTACATTATGGAAAATAATGAACTTCATCACAATATGCTAATTTTTTGAGAAGGACCTGTATGGTCAATCAAGCACTTCAGTTTGAGTGCATAGCATCTTACTTTAGTTTTTAACTACTCACTGCTATGTGCTGTAATAAAGGACCATGATGCATTTTTTTCCTAGTGTTCTTGTTTAGTTAGTGCCATATAAATATCATTGCCTGTTTGGAAAAAAGTAAAATATTGGTTGATGGTGTTGTTTATGGTTCCAACATGTCGCTCAATGTTTCCCTTAAAGCTGATTCAACCATATAACTGAACCTCAAATGTTAAACAACAACTATTATTAGTTAGTTAGATGTGTCAGTGAGGCTGTTGCATCAATATCTCCTTAAAAAGTTCCCGTTCACAAGAATCATTTGTTTGTGAATCGGACATCACAGCTAGTGTTGTGTTCGATGTTGCCTGCAGGAAACAGTGGCACATTAAACCTTACAAATTTATATCTGGAGAAATCACATATCGACTGACTAGATTTTACACTTTTGTTGCAGAATTATATTTTTCTACGCATTCGCGTCCATTTTAGGTGCAGTCCGGAGATAGGAGATATGGAGTATAATCCTGATTTTCTAAAACCTATTCCAGCCAGACAAGGCCAGTGTTATTAACAATAAGCCTTTCTCACAACTCTTAAGTAAACAGAAAGTACAGAGATAACAGTGTGCTTAACACAGAGTAAATGCACAGATAACACAGAATAAAAATAATACCGTACAAAATGTACCACACAAAATCATTCTAGTTGCATAATAGTCACTGTCCTGCCAATCCACCCACCTGTGCTAAATGATCACACATACATAGGACACATAGATACAGTCTTCTATTTAAAAACAAAGAAAGAAGTAGAACAGAACAGAAAATAATTTGGTTTTGTAACAGGTAAATGTCAGTGTCATAACTTATATATATATATATATATATAAAAACTGTCATAACCATTTGCATTATAAAACAAATAAAAAAACTAACCAACTTCGCCTGAATCATACAATGTTACTTCCTAAAATGCAAAAACAACAGCCGGCTCGACATCTGATAAACATGATCGAAAACGGCTATTGCATATTTCTGTGTACATGAGATTCAACACCAATCAAGAGTCATTCAGCTCACATATGTGCATCAATGGGGCAACTCAACATCTTGTCCATTACTGTATCAACAGAAAGCATAATGGAGATGACACACCTGTGAAACCTCACTACAGATGAGACATTCAGATATCAGACAGTGGTTATAATACACAGCATAAGGAAGTGAAACTCATCTGGTCTAAACTTAACTTAGTGCTTCAGATAAACAGAGCTTTTCTGAGCATGTCATCATGGAACAGGATGCCAGTTTTTCTGTTCCCTTGTAGTAAAGGGTATAAAACCCATTGAACAGTTACACTTTATTTTGATGGTCCACTTTAGACTCTCTACAAGACAGTACTCTACTCTAATGACTCTAATGACTGGTAAATACTCTAATGACTGGTAGACATGTAGTTGCAAAGTTAATAATAGTTAGTAGAAAGTCTAAAGTGGACCATCAAAATAAAGCGTTACCCATTTAACCAATAATACTTCTAAGTCTAATGCAGAAAGAAAGATGAATTTCATACAATGCATCATGATTTCTGTTTTGTTTTGGCCAAGTTCCTGCTAATAGTCATATCTGTCGGAATGGAACCGGTTTTAAATTTAAGCAGTACTTCTGCTTCATATAAAGTTGTATTATGGCAGGAAGCTAACACTGCCCTTTTATCAGTTCTTTTACCCTTTTATTTATTTAATTCCATTTACACGTACACTAAAAAAGCACCAGCTAAACGGTTTACTGAAATGAAAACTGCAGATTAACCAGGTGGAAACATCTTATTTAAAAACAGCTATATGAAACCAAAAATGCACCACTAAGATAAACTTAACCATTAAACCAACAATCATATGACTGCTACCCACAAAAAAATACACCACATGACATGCACCATACCTGTCATCTTTTATGCCAAGGACATGATTAGATTTGCTCTGGAATGTAGGCAAATACTTGCATTTCCATACACCTTCTGAAATTTTGCAACACCAAGATGTGATTCTTCCACTCAGACTTTATACCTGCATAATTACCCTGTTTTTTTCTAGAGCAGGGTCTGACAGAGGTGCTTGAATTCCCCTAGCACTTTGAAATAGAGCATTCTGGGTAGAATACAAATAGGTCACATGGTGTTGAGGGCTAGTGGAGCACTGCACCAGTTGATTTGACCTGTGCTGCATCAGGGGTATCGTCCAAGTGAACAGATACAAATAATTGCTTTGATGTCAGTTAGCACATACTGTCACACTTTTGCCATCTTTGGCTTCCAATACAACTCAAAGCTAAATTAAGACTGCATGATTATGAGGAAGGAAAGTTAAACCACTAAATAAAATATATAACAGGGATAAAGTGAACGACAAACCATTCTTTTTGGGGCCTCTCCAGATAACAGCATCATCTGGACTACTGAGCAGAAAGCCGATGGACATGACAGCCAAGTTGTCCTCAACATACTAGACAGAGAATATATCAGCATGTAATAATGACACAAAACCCTTTGAACCAATGAAGGGGCATCAGAATCCAAATCAAAAGAGTAGATTAAAAAAAAAAATCTCACCACTGGGGACCAGCCTGAGCCACTCTGATGAACCTGCAGAGAAAACAAAGACAGAATGGGATTATAAAACATTCAGACACCTCAGCATTCTGAGACATGATGCATAATGAATCTGTCTCTGCAGTGACATACCTGCTCCCCATCTAAGCCCATTATTCTTGGTATAGACGGCCCACAGATGTCCACATCTAGGAGTGCTATCTGAAACAGGGGAAACAAACGACAACTGGCATAAGGTTGTTTATTATAGATATGGATTATGTAAACATTTAACCAGATTTTTGATAATTAAACTGAATAATTATTGTATTAAAAAAATGTGTAAATTTGGTCAGTCCAATTTGCTCATATTATTTGCTTTAATAAACAAAACAAAGCAAAGAGGTTGGGATTTGAACAACATGAAAATTGCACCACTGCAGTGCAGTACAATGATGTTAACACAAGATGTCAGTGTGGCACAGCTTAGTGAGTCAGCAACTCTCACACAGACTACATGCACATACACAGTCTGACCAGCACTGACTCATAAGTCATTACATAAGATCATCACTTCAGTTCCAGCTCTATACACACAGACCTCAGCAACCTCCAATACATGTTTAAGCTTTTAAATTCATCTCTGAAGGCCACATTACCCTGATGTGACCAGGAAACATAACCTTTCCATGGCCTTTGTGATATGACTGAAATCATTGGGTCTGTGGTTATCTCATGTCTGAGTGTACAGCCTTGATTTGGTGTGGGTTGAGTGTATACCAGACCTGGTGGTTATATTTGAACTCTAGGCCAGACGTGGAGCAGAGCTGTGAGATAAGAACAGATCCCCAAGTTTGTGAAACAGTCTCGTCATGTCATGTGCTTTAAAAATAAATTAAACTGATTAATGCGCATTAGTGTGTGAGATAACATCCAGAACACTTCAACAAATACTGCCAAAACTACAGAGCAGGTGAGATCAGCGCCGCCACTCCCACCACGCGCATCACGCGCTGTGCGTAGGGCACCAAAAATAGCCTAATGAAAAATAAATCGTCATAATAATTATAATGCGATATTTCACTATAGAAATATTATTAGGCACTTTTTAGGCATGTATATAACAAAACAGGCGGAACAAGAGTATATAATTGCTCTAGAAAGTAACGAAAGTAACATCTCAGCGGAGCCTCACAGAAAAAGCTGCAGATGTCATTCGGCACAGGAAAAAGAAGACTGGGAGGGGGATGATATTCCTGGCTTTTGTAAAAAGGAGATAATCAAAACTCTTCTTCATCCCTTACAAATAGACCCCCGAGGGCTGCTGCATGCCAACTACAGCATATGTTTAGATGATCACACCAGAGCAAATCTCCAGCCATGAGTTAGTGTTTGTGTGTGTGACTGATACGTGGACATGATAGGAACTGAGGAAAATTCCAGATGCGCTGATGATTTGACTTTTTGGATCTATGGAAGGGAGCCCTGGCTTTTCCTGCAACAAAGACATGACTCGCACCTAAATGGATCAGAAATATCAACAATGATTTGATTACAGGTTCTCAAAGCGTTTGTTTAAGTGTTTAAATGTATTTAGTTTAAAAACTAAATATAGAGTCTAATAAACGTATGACCGTCTTGCCCCTGGCTTGTGTTAAATGTTATTTGTCGACGGGTGAATTAAGCAGCACTCTTTTAAACACACTCTTGTTATGGTCACACTCAGATGATGTTTATTTCTCCCTCCCTATTCCTCTGCTTCCTGAAGGAAATTTACTGAAAGCAAACTAAGGAGTGAAAGCAGCAAAAAAGGAGCACAGAAGCCCACTTAATAGTCCCACAGGAACTGAGGAGGTCCCCTCACTCTCCATTTTGCTCTCTCTCTCAGGAAATGGCCGCACAGTGAGCAGGGTTGTAGAGAGGCTAAGACCATAGTGGCAAAAGTCAGGGATTCTCCCGCAGAGCTACAGGGGAAGTCACACCACATCCTCCCAGAGTCTCAATACTTTTTTTTGGCAACCGCTCTTCTTTTCCAGTACTTCCCTTTTTCTTGGGCTAGAAACAAAAATGTACATGCTCTCCTGTGTCTTAGTCGGCCTTCTTAAATCAATGTCTAAAAACCCTTAGGGCTCATCAAATATATGTTGAGCGAGGAGGGGAGGGTACGTCTTAACCTGACAAAAATGCTAGAATCCCACGGACCTCTTGAGGGAATATGGAACATCCAGAACAGGCCCGTTTAGGACCAGATGTAGATTTGGCTACTGTAGCCTATATGCTTATAGAGAAGCAAAGAGACATTTGCTATGTTTCCGTTGAGGTTGCAAATTTAATGCATGAAAAAATTATAATATAAAACATTTAACATTTTAACAATTTTTAAATACTTCTAAATACTTGACTATGCAAAGAAAAGTGATCAGAAGAAAAGAGCTAAAATGCAACAAATGTTCATTATTTAGCCCAATTAAGCAAATATTGCTAAATTTGTATTAAAATATTTTGGATAGAAACCTGACTAATGAGAGGTGAATATTAGGATCTTTATAAAATTGTCTTTTCATTTCAATTTGAGTACAGTGCTACAACATTAAACACAATAATACTGTAGGTAGTGTGGCTGAGCAGTTAAAGACCTGGGCCCGTATTCATAAAGAATCTTAATGCAAAGAGTAGCTCCTAGTGACAAAATTCTAAGAAAATTCTTAGAAATGTGGGCGTTTACTCTTAAAATTAAAGAAAAAATCCTAGTAAAGAAACAAGTAATTCAGAAAGCATCTTAACCCTTAAAAGAGGTCTTAAGGTCAAAATTGTTAGGAGTATGGATGAGGACTTTTAAGAGGGTTAAGAGTTTCTTTAGCAGAGGAGAAAATGACAGAAGGATGAAGAGGGAGAAGAAATGTGATGCCAGTGAGTTAATAAGACGCTATAGAAGAGATCGTGCAGGGATCATGTTTGTGACTGATCTTATTAGAGACACGCTAATATCTCCGACACAGCGCAGGAATGCCATAACGCCAGAAATGAAAGTAATCACTACATTAAGATATTTGGCAAATGGGAAAATGCAATAAAGCAGCAGTGATTTGGGTCTGTCACAACCTTCTGTAAGCAGTGATCACACAAACAATTACAGCACTTTCGGAACCTCTTATTGATTGTGTTGCAGTTCATTTAGTTTCCACTGTACATTCCCACCTTGCAGGCTCAAAAAACTGCAGTTATGAATATAGCAGGCTTCCCTGGTGCGCACAAGCAGGGGAATGAACCGTTAATAATGTGCGCTATAAACTCCCACGTCAGTTTGTTTTTGTTGCTGTTTGTGGAGCCTGGGCTGTCTACAGAGATCGCGTTTCTTTACAGTGTGTTCAGGGGACAGGCAGCCAGCGGATAGTAAGGAGATGTTTGCTGTATGTGACAAAAAATGTTTTGGCCTAAAAAACGTGTGACATCGCTTAGAGCACCTTTAATGATGGCCTAGTGTTGTTCATCCACTAACTAGGCTAACAGTAAACGGTTCTTCTGACCAGGGGCTTTCTCATCTTTCTTGTTTTTTATTCCATGTTTGCTATATTAAAACCAACATTCAAACCACCACTTAAATAGACAGCAATCAGTGTAATTGGAAAGAGTGGAACAATTTTTATCATTCTAAACCAATCAAATACCTTAGGAAATTGACCGTTCGCAGGCCCCTCCCCCAAAACGCCTATTGTCCAATCACACATCATAGCAACCGTTACTATGTGAGCAGGTCCATCAAACATTGACTCCAAGCAAGATGGTGAAGCGGTGCGCCCACGGCGTTTGTAAATCGGACAATAGATACCCCGAGAGATTGTCAGGAGGAGTTGTGTTCTTTCCGTTTCAAAAGCCGAAACGTGGTTAAATGTGTCGAACATGGCTAACTCGCGTGCAGCGTGCGTGAGACTGAGACAATGAGATTAGTCAAAGACACATGGAGAAAGCAGATCAAGAGGATCCACAAAGGAAGTACGTTTTCTAAAGTGTTGTTGTTAACATGATATTTTCGGGGGGAAATGAGCAGCAGCAGAGACTATTTATATAGAGACATGCCACTTCAGCAATCCTTATAATACAACTATATAGGGAAACGCCAAAGCTGGCGGTTGTATGCAGATGTCCCGCCCCTCCCGCTGGAAAGCCAATCGTCTGCTTTTAACAGTCAAGCCGGGAAACATTTAAGCCTATCGTCTGGTTCCACTGACGCATGCGCACAGTTGAGGTTTGCGACAGCGCAAAATACGTTACTGTTTGAAAAGGCGGCAGATTTGATATGCAGTGTATGTGTGAGTTGTGTAATATCAGACATCCCAAGTCTCCCGCAGTTTGATAGCGGCTCCCTGATGCCCGCAAATTAGTTCAAATCTCCCCGAATCTAGAGCGAGCGAGCAAGAGCTCACACATACTGTGCTTCAAACTGTGTAGCGCGCGCACGTGAGAGGGAGAGAACCCTTGCGCATGCGTAGTAAAAGTATAACCTGTGGGGAAAAAGGCGTTTTAAACCTTATTTTGGGGCAAAGTCATCAAACTTTTTCAGCGATTTTTATCATATTTTCCTGCTGTTTCTATACATGCAGTTTTTATGTCCCGGTGACCAGTGAAACTGCAGTTCTGACTCTCTGCCCATTCATTTAGATAGGATCCTGGTCTTGTTAGTCCGAAATAGCTGCCCGGAGGCGTTGCCAAGACGGCGGCCGAGTGGCATGACTTGCCTAAAAGGACTTTGGCAGCAGTCACTAGCAGTGCAGGCAGCACCTGTAGACTACATTTTAGACTAACGTTAGAGGAGTGCACGTTCGCAACGGGGAACGCATGAAGCTTACTTGACAACATCAGTTCATATCAATATCGTAACGAATAGAAATAATGTATGGTTATCTGCATCTTTCCATCTATTATGTATAGTTCCTTTTTAAACACGAAAATCGCATTCAGCATGACACGCAAGCGGTTGCCGTGGTAATGAACAACCTGCTTGTTAAACCGAATGAATAATCCTGTATCTGAGGCAAAATTACTAAATATGCAGCGCGAGTTATATATTTCTAACTCCAAACAATTAGCCACTGAAACAGCTTATAAAATCTTCAAGGCTGTGCTGGTTGCATTTGAGGTAACGTTACAGGTCATGGGGTTTTTCAGATTTCGCTTGAGACCGGTTTGAGAGCTTGAGAGCATTATTAGGCTCGATAGTAGTC